GAGGTCTCGGCATGGGCGGGGGTCTCGGCATGGGCGGCGGTGGCGGCGGCGGCAGCTACAGCATGAGCAGCAGCGGCGGCTTCGGAGGCGGGAGCGGAGGGTTTGGCGGGGGGCTCAGCTACGGAGGAGGCAGCACCTTCAGCTCCGGGAGCAGCCGAGGTGTCAGCTCCAGCACAGGAGGCAGCGTGAGGATCGTTTCCAAGACCACCACTAGCAAAAAGACCATCAGATAAGGATGGTGAGCCCGGGGCCCCCCGCGCGGACGACGGCGTGTTTCCAAAAGCAAGTGCTGCCCTACGAATCAATGGTGTAAATAGCTGCGCTAGAGCCTCTCCTTCCTCCGTCCTTCACCCTCCACCTTTGGGGCAGCGGGGGGCGACCAGGACCCCACCGCAAAAATCTGGAGCACCTTTGGCTAAAGCACAGGTTGTAACAGGTCACTGACAGGGCTTTGGAGAGCCGTCGTGGACCCCAGTGGTGGCTCTCTTCCAGCACAGTCCTTGTTCTTCCCTTGCTCTCCTCCTGGAGTCACACATTTAAAGCAAAGTGGAAGCACTTCGCTGAACGGGGACAGCCGCGCTCGGCCACGCACATTCACTTCACTCGTCCTGAAACAATGGTGACAGCCTCGTGAAACCACAGTCCTGGGTCCTCAGCAGTGAAAATAGCTCCAAGACGCTCTAAAAGCCTCTGCCTGCAACACGTGTTACAACCTCCAAATGTGTCTGCAACTAAAGATTTTTTTCCAGCCCCTTCTGTTTTCTCAGGCACTTGTGGGAAAGGTTATTGCTTTCTGTGTATATGAATCGCCACACTGATTTCTAACCCTCATGGCTACAGCCTCTTCACTTCCAGGCCTACCATGCTGTATGGTCCAATAAAAAGCATTTGTCATTTTTAAAACCTGTTGCTTTTTGGTTTTTCTTCTCTGCTGATGTGGGTATTGATGCGTCCTGTGCCCCAGCTGCAGTGGGGACTCTGCAGAGGCAGTTCAGAAGAAAGGATCCTTGCCTTGAGGAAACAAAACTCAGTTTTAAAGGCTCAGGGTCTGGGACAGGCTGGGGAGGGTGGAAGGGAGAGTGGGATGGATGGATGGATGGAGAGCTGGGGCACAGGGAAGAAAATCTGCCTCAGGGCTGAGCCAAAAGCTGGGTGAATCCCACTGTGGTGGTGAACTGCAAAGCTGCCCTTTCTGCCCATCACTGCAGGAGTGAGAATACACAAGGGAGTGGGAAAAGGAAGGCAATTCCCAAAGGCTTAGGTGGGATTTATGAGTTAGCACATGTGGGGCCTGGCTCAGCCCAGCCTTTAGTTAATACAACCAGTAGCAAATCGTAGAGCAGAGGAGCCCAGCCCTGGCAGCAGCAGCAGAGGCGGGAGGGCAGGGACACAGCGAGAACAGCATCAAACGGAGGGGAATGGAGCAGCTGAACATTGCCCCGAACAGAAAGAGGAACTGGAGGGAGGGCAGCACTAGCAAGGAGGGCAAAGTGCCCAATGTCTGCACGTGCTGCGCTTGCACACCGAGGTTTCCCGTGCACACGCAAATATCTCACTAAATGTCCCAGCTGCTCCTCTGGAGGGGCTGTTCTGGGGCCTCAGCTTCCTTCTGAATGAACCTGGAGGTGTTCCAAGGTGCCCACAGCAGCCGGCCTCCCAGTTCCCATCCACCCCCCCGGGGAGGTTTCAAAGAGCTGCGGGGATGGAGGGTTCCACCCAGGCTCCTGTGCTGTTCCTGGGCTCCCTCCCGCGGCTCCGTGGGCATCCCCTGGCTCCTGCACCCTGTGAGGCTGAAGGGCTGGACACGAATCCTGGCAGTGGCATTGGGAAGCCTGGTGTGAGGGGGGAACCCAGCCCCGAAGGCGGGAGCTGCAGCATGAACCGAGGGGCCAGGGCAGGAGGGGGGCAGATGAGGAAGGGCGCACGGCCCACGGGGACTGCTGGTCCCTAAAGGACACTGGTGTGTGTCCACCAACCCACCCCTCATCCCTTGCAAACTCCAGCTGGGGGTGCACCCAGGCAGGACCCCATAGAGTGAGAGGAGAGGGGGGCATCAGCCACGTCTGCAAGGCAAAAGCATCTCATGCACGGCGTGCCGGAGCGCTGAGGCGGGGAAATCCCTCTGAGCTCCTGAGGCGCTGGGACCCACAGCCCACGGTGCTGCGCAGAGGGGTGCAAGCACCCGACACCCCAGCACGGTGTCTCCAGCAGGTGGGGGCCCAGAGCAAGACAAAGGCTCAGAGCACCCTGCAAAGGCTCCGAGCCCCAACAGTGCTACGGTGGGGCTGGGGAGGGGGTCACAGCCGCAAGTCTCCCCTTCCCACACATGGGGAGGGGCGAGGAAGTGATGGCTTTGGGGAGTCAGGGAGGCCGTTTGCACCAGAGGAGGTTTCGTGGAGGGTGACTGGGTTGGGCTTCATTCATTTAACAGTTTGCAGCAATTTTCAAGCATCTGACCGTGTTTCTTTAGACTCTTTTAAGGAAACAGAGTGAAGCTTGAAATGCGGAGGCATCTGTACCAGACAGGGCGCCCCAACTGGGCTACTATTGCTAAACTATATTTTGGTGTGCTTTTTTTTTTTTTTTTTTTTTTTTATTTTGAACATGTCAAATACAGGTTTGTTTTGTTTCGTTTTTTCAATAGAAGTGTGCACAACATGTTGCTGTGCCACCAGCCACAACGATACATGGGCCACTACCAGTGCTGGACCCTCCACGAAACTTGTTTGTGAGCTGCACTGCCAAGGCCTTACCCATCCCCACAGCCCCCGGGGGTCCCTGCAGCCCCCACCAGTCTGGTGCCACAGGCTGCTGTGGGGTCCTTCTCCTGCGGTCTGAAGGTGACGATGCTCTCGAGGCAAAAACGCACTGAGCAGCTCTCGGACTCTTTTCTGTTTCCATAGGAGGTTTTGAGAGCCCACCCTGGCACCTCTTCTCCGAGAAAGCAGACAGCAGATGCAAAAAATCACCTTCAGATTTGCAGAGAGCTGGAAAACTCATATATTCAGGTCAAAATTGACAAGTCATTCTAGCTGACAATTTAAATATTAGGTGAAATATATTTTTTTAAAACCAACATTTAATTTCAGTGTTTCCTATGGGAATGATCCCATCTCTGGAATGCTGAAACATCTGCCCTTAACATCTCCCAAATGAAACCTCGCAGCTTTTTGACTCAAAAGCAGATTTTTTTTTTTTTTTCATCAAAGAAAATTATTTTGTTTTTAATTTGCAAATGGTTTACACAGCCTGCAAATGAAACAAGACATGAAATGGCTGCAGGGAAGGTAACACAGGACGCAGCAAAACCAGCAGCGGAACAATGTTCCCAGCTACCATCTGTGAGGCATGTTCAGTCTGAGCGTTGCTATTTAAACAGGGCAGCAACATCCCGCTGCCCAGAGCGGCTGGAGATGGGAGTCCGGCCGCACGCGATGCCAAGCGCTGCGGAACAGCAGCGGGGACCTCCGGCCTCACGTGCGGCGCAATACGGCACTGCGCCGTAAAAAAACACGAGGGCCCGTAAAATTGGTTGCACCGTGACTGGATGCGCTTTCCAGGGTGCATGAATAATCCTTGTTTATCTTAAGAGCTCTGGGAGTAGGGTTGTGCGGATCCAGTTTGCTTTAAGACGGAGAAATTAAACTTCGCGCGCGCGTGCGCTACGGCTCTTTGCAAGGAAACTTGAACCAGGAGCAGCGCTCGGTGCAGGATGGAGCTGAGGGACACGCCACATGTAGGCACAGAGATGAGCCAAAATACTGGGACATTACAGCAACGCTGCTTCCAGTGCTCGGTTTTCTTTATCGGGAGAAAAATAACGTACCCTGGGGCCATGAGAAAGGACAAGATGCCACAATACAGCTGCAATAACCTTCAGTGTTGAAAGATCTTGTGTTCCACGTGGAGATCACAGCCCCAGCAGCCCTACTCAGGGATTAAAGACAGGCTCAGAAAGCATCACAGCTCAATTTGGGATATTTAGGTGTCTTCGGGTACCACTACCTAAGCACCACTGTTGCATGCAGGATAGGATAAAGGAGGTATCACCTAATACCCACCTAAGGTCAGAGGGTCTTTCAAGATACAACAAACCACAGGGGGAAAAGAGACGACCCCCCCCCTGCTCTGCGTAAAGCACCTGGCAACAACAGCAATAATGAAGGCAAAGTTATTCCAAAACCCTGGGTTGCATCGGTGTCTCTGTGCTAGCCCAGAAAACAATTATCTGGAGAAAGCAGGTCACACCTACACTTCAAAGTCATCTAGTAGTTATAGCTGACTGGCCTCCAGATACTGCTGGGAACAGGCTCAAAGGACTGCAACACCCATCACGGGGCAACACCTATGGGAAAGCTTCTGAGGAGTTCATCCTAATTCATCCCTTCGGGAAATGAGATTCACGGACACTCGCCTTTCACTTGGGAGGTCTCTCAGGGGTGCCCGTCCCCGCAGCACAGGGATGCTGTGAGTTGTGTGGTCCCCCGTGGAAAAAGCTCAGGGTGACCAGCAGGACTTCATTAACTTAGGATGAAATAGTAAATTATGGTCAAAATGAGTAGGGTTTGAATTTAGGTTAGTAGCCCAAGTTTAACCCAAAGGCTTTAATTTAAGCAATTAACCTAAATTACAGCCTTGACTTTACTGATAATTAAACTGAGATTAGGTAGCACAGGTGAACGAACCCGAGTTAGTAAGACACGCTCTTATTTTACAAATATATGTATTTTTGCAAACAAAACACACAGAGGCACTTCTGAAAATGTCAGCCTTGTCTGAGCAAGGGCATCCATCACCAGCCGAAGGCTTCCAAGGTGGATGCTGGAGAGGAGCTGCGGTGCAGAGAGATGGAGATGAAAAGTTGGAGGCATCCCCACTTCACTGGCTGGGTACACAGAAAATGGTTCAAAATTCTGACTAAAGGGGCTTGAGTTGCCTTTATTGCCCTGATAAGAGTCAGAACTCACTTTCCTAATCTCAAAGGATAGTTATTACCTTGATATCAGCGTGAGGCCAGGACCAAACTCAGCCAAGACTTTAACTCCCAAGTTTACAGCATGGTGTAAAAGGATCTCCTGCCTCTTGGTCTGGGACTTGTACCCGCTGCTGCCTGTCTCCTCTGCTCAGCCTGGTGGGAAGAAATGAGGAGGGGAAGGGAAGAAAAAGGGCTCCGGAGCCTGCTCAACCTTGCAGACGGCCTCTGCTACGTTGCGGGGGATCTCACACGGTGGGACCTGCCTGAACAGAGTTCCCTTTGTTTGATTAGGAGGAAGAACTAGAGGGCAGCTTGAGTGAGCACAAGCATGATCCTCTGGTGGAGGAGAAAAAGTCCGTATCAGAGCAAGCTATCTGCATTAGAGCAGCAATTACATGCCTGGAGCTGCAGGGTGCATGGGAGACACTCCCCCAGGAGCTACCTGGAAACCCTGTGTTTCATCAACAGAGCAGGGTGGGGGCCCCCCTGCCATCACCCCATACCCCAAACCTGTAGCTACAGCTCCTTGTGCTCACAGTTCTGCCTTTTGTAATTACCTCTCAAATTCCTTCCAGATGAGTGACAACCGCATCACCTCCACCCTAGTGCAAATGTGAAATGGAAAGAAATTAATTTCTTTTTACTTGGTTGGAGGAGCTGTATTATTACTATTATTAACAATGGACACCAACGCAGTTGGCGTATTCTTTGGCCAAAAAAGACAAGTTTCATATGTAAAAGGAGCCTGAGGGGAAAAAGGAAAGTACTGACGCATCACGCTGTTAGTAACCAAGGGTGGGTTTCAGCCTGGCTAACTCTGCACACCCTGAGTCAGCCATCTGGTCTACCCACGTAGTGTTGGTGAAGGTGGAAAGCCATCGTCAGGGGCCTCTCCGGCCACCTACTGCGGAATGGAGAATCTGCCATTTGGTGGTCAACCCCACCGACTGCACGAGAAGACGGAAAAGCTGTCCGATAGAGTTACGGGAGATGGATAGCACCCGAGAGAGCAAGTCCCAAAGGAGCCATGGGCGTTTAAGGAGGCTGGCAACTTGCATCTGCCCTATCTGGGACTCGCATCTCATACGAATTCAGCACACTGAGGGGGTGTAGGGGGGGGAATCAATCTCGTGCACTGAAGTCATGACACCTGCCAATTGGGTGGGTAAAACCCTAAGGCTGGTCAATAATCCACGGCCTTTCGGATGCAGAGCTGTGGTTGCAACCCATTTACTTCCAGTGGGTGCAGACATGCAGACAGTCAGACCCAACGATAGAGCCCTGATGGGCAAAAATTGCAAGTTTTAGCTCTTCTTTACAATAAAAGCTCAGTCTTGCAATAGACACCAAAATAAACTAACAATTGCTATTTCTTCCCCCCTTCTTTTAAAAACTCAACTGCAGCTGGGGAAACAACGGGGACACAAAGTGTTTCGGGGTGTTTCCTTCACCCAGCTACCCCGCAAGATGGGGGCAGATGGAAGCACAACACCCCTCAGCCGGGGCGATTCCCCAATATTACGTTATTCCTGTACGGCCGCCAGTAGCTGCTCGGACTCGCAGAAAACATGAGAGGAAGCTGTTCGGGGGGGATGCTTTGCAAGTTCACCCTCTTGTATAAATAAATTATATATGAGTCATCTTTTCCTGAACAACCTGAAACACAGCGAGGGCCAGAAACACTTGCTGTCACCCAAAATGAATTATTTTTCACATTTTTCTATTTGACTTGCTGCTCAAGCTGCCTGCCATGCTAAATGCGAAGCAAAGGGCTGCATTTGGTCCCTGAGAAAGGAAAGATCCAGGATATCTTACTGTGTCCAAACTGCTGTGGATCTGGGCAGGGGGAATCCTGTAGAGCTTTCAGAAATCCACTTTCCCAGTGGACTCAAGCAGGCAGGATCACACTTTCAGATGTGCAGTGCTGAAAAAGCTGATTAAATCTTCGGGAAACTACACGGTGTTTATAAACGGCAAGTTGGGAACAGCCCCGGAGCACTCCATTTCCATAGAGCCAGTGGATTCAAAGCAGTCCCCATTCCCACAACCTTTCCTCCTCTTTTTTTATTTTCTTTTCTTTTGGTTGGTTTTGTTTGTTTGTTTCCATCCTGCTAAAATGGCCAAATCTTCAAAGCCAACTATTTGTGATGGAGCTCGATGGCAGCTGTCAAAATCTGCACATGAACAAAAGACCTTGTCAAAACGTTTCATTTTCATTCCTACTTTTTTTTTTTTTTTTTTTTTTTTTTTAAGTCTGCAGAAGCAGGATCTTTGGAAGACTCGGCTCAGGAAGCTGAGCCTTTACAGGGATGGAGGCAAAACTCTTTCTGCAGGTGTACTGTGGTAGATTGGAGGGGACCATGCAGCACGCGTCACCAAACCCCAGGACAGAAGGATTTACTGCGGAGCCCTGCTCTGCCCACCACAGACCCCCTTCCTAAAGCACAAGGGACTGTAACTTTTCAAAGCCCTGCCTGTGAACAGAAAAGGGGCAAAAGCAATCCCAAGGGATGAAGTTTTCCAATGAGAGAGGCGTTGAGTGACAGGCATTTTGAACGGTGTTTTCCTCCCTGTGCCCAAGGTGACTCACTGCAACTTTCAAACGCTTTGATATGGCAAAGAGTCTGGCTGTCTACAAAGAGGGCAGAAGGCGACAGTTATTCCCAAACAATACCACTGTTGCTCAGAACCTGGCTATATTATTTCAGAAGGGCGTGTGTGCGGAGTGAGTTCACTCTCCAGAATGCTGTTGGACATGCCAAGCCTAATTAATCAGAAAGATGATCCACCTCATCAAACCCATCCCAGTCTCATACATGCATAAAAGGGCTCTCCTCAGCCCGTGGAGAGCACAGGTTCACCTTTCTCCTTTCCCTCCTACTCCTTGCTCCAGGCCAGCACCTTTGCTCCTTTATTCTTGCTGTAGCATCCATCCCAATCCAAAAGCCAGCAATGTCTCGCCAGTCCACCGTGAGGATTCAGAGGGGAAGAAGTGGCTTCAGCGCTGCTTCGGCCGTCATCCCAAACACCTGCCGCTCCAGCTTCAGCTCGTGCTCTGTCACCCGCGTCGGAAACTGCAATGCTGGCAGCGGGTTTGCTAGGGTTGGTGGTGGCTTTGGAAGCAAGAGCCTCTACAATGTTGGTGGATGCAAGAGGATCTCTGTGGCTGGAAGGGGTGGCAGCTTCTATGGATCCGCAGGTTTTGGTGGTGGCGTTGGTAGCGTGTACGGTGGTGGCTTTGGATATGGTGCATTTGGTGGTGGCATGGGTGGCCCTGGATTCCCAGCTGGGGGCATCCACGAAGTCTCCGTCAACCAGAGCCTTCTGAAACCTCTCAACTTGGAGATTGACCCCAGCATCCAAAGGATCCGAAAGGAGGAGAAGGAGCAGATCAAAACCCTCAACAACAAATTTGCCTCCTTCATTGACAAGGTGAGACAAGAGCTTCCCTAAATATCTTCTCCTGATTTTTTTGACGGGAACAATTTTCTTAGCTGCTCTATAAACCCATAAGCTGATCAAGAATGAATAGAAGTGAGGAATGAGACTGGAAGATGCCCAGTCCCTGGAAACTCTGGGGAATGGTACCTGCTACATAGTGGCTGCTATGAATCAATCATCCAGTATTCGAGTTCCTCATTTGCTGCCTGACATCTCACAGGCAGTGGAGAGAGCGAGCTCTAGAAGACAACCCCATCCTTCTGGAGATGTTGGGCTCTCTCCGTTGAGTGCAACAGTAGCCTCGATAACAGTTTTGTAGACGGTTAAATTGAAATGCAAACAACCCATCTAAAATGGCCAGGAAAGGAATCCCACGAATTGGCACTAGGGAGAAGTAAGCATCTCACTGCCCGAATTTCCTCAAAGGCATGTAAAGCTAATCACTGCAACAGTACCAGCGTGCTTGGACTGTTAGTTCAAAATAGCAAAATCGAATCTGACACTGTCTGTCCACTTCATTTCCTTGTTAACTGTATTAAGTGCACAGAAGCATCTGCTTGATTTCTGCTCTGGCTGAGCAGCTCCTCTTTGGTTTTAAGGAAAATACTTTTTTTTTTTTTTTTAAATTGGGTGGGGGAGCTATATTGAAGGGAAGGAGAAATGAGACTTTACTGTTGTTTTCTTAATGAGTGCAAACCCTGTTTTGTTCCTTATCTGGTTTTACATGCACTCCTCACAGGAAATGCATGCGCCTTGTCCTGATTTAGCAAAGCAATGAAGGGGAAGCCTGCTGCAAGAAAATCAGTAATCATTCCAGAGCTTGTTCACAATACTGAGCAGGGTCCGTGCAGTTAAATAGCAAATTCCTTCTTCTGACAGATGAGAATTTGGTGGTGAAAGCCAGCTGGGAAGAGCTTCACTGCCTCAGCTAGTACTGAGCTCCCACTTTTGCACGGAAATCTCTCCATAATCTCTGCTCTTTCAAAACATTTTCAGGATATTTCTGCTTGCAGGTCCGATTCCTTGAGCAACAAAATAAAGTGCTGGAAACCAAGTGGAGCCTGCTTCAGGAGCAGGGGATGAAAACAGTTAGGAACAACCTGGAGCCGCTTTTTGAGACTTACATCAACAACCTCAGGATGCAGCTGAACAATCTGCTGAGCGACAAGGGAAGGCTGGAGGGAGAGCTGGTCAACACGCAGTACCTGGTTGAGGATTTCAAGAAGAAGTAAGTCTATCGAGTTAGCGGTCCACTTACCTAGGTAGGTGCAGCCTTTCTCTATTCAACACCCTTAAGCCAACTGGGGGATCCAGGCGAGTCCGAGACACAGCTCCTGACAGTGAAGGCTGTGACATTTTCTCAGGATAAACGGTAACGGAGTAACAGATCCAAATACACAAACATTTAGGGAATAATTTAGAATATGATCAAAGACTTATTAACTAAATTACCGACTGAGAGAAAAAAATTACATGGTAGGTCTGAGAGTTTCAGGACAGCGTGCTTAATTTGCGTAAGACAGGCAGAAGGAGTATGACTAATGGCCAGAAATAGGAAAAAAAGAATAGATACTTAAAAATTTTTTTTTATGTACTTGTTTTAACTAGTTTAGCCTAGGAACATGCTCATGGTCTCTTATTCAGATGCTCTGTAGGAGAAAAGAACATTGTATGCAAAATGCTCTTAAGGAAGTTCATTCCAGCAAACCAAAATCACCTCCATCTGTTACTTGCCTAAACAAATGCTCCTTCTGCTTCCCTCCATTAGGTATGAAGATGAAATCAACAGGCGCACGGTTGCAGAGAATGAATTTGTGACACTCAAGAAGGTGAGAGCAAGTTACAGAACACCATCCGATGACTACTTGTAGAACTCTTAATCGCCTGTTAATTCACAAATCCGTCCGTCCATATTCCAAAAGTTGGGGTTTTTTTTACAGTTTCTTCCCCGGGACTGTTATTGCAGAGATACGCGTGTTCCTGACTTGTTAATTAGAGTTTAAAACACATTACCTAAATCTCTCATCCTCCAGGATGTAGATGCTGCCTATATGAACAAGGTGGAACTACAAGCCAAGGTAGATGCGCTGACTGAAGAAATTAATTTCCTGAGAGCCCTCTATGAAGCAGTGAGTACAACCACCTCCCAAGACATTTCAACCCTCAGCTAAGAGCCCCCCTCCCTCCTTTTCTCTGAAAGCCTGTAATTTCTTCCCCGGGGAGATGCTAAATCCTTTACCTGTTTAGAGTTACACCAACGGATTTAGCTGTTTAGATAACAATCTGTAGCCTCTCCCAGGTCTGCACGCTCATCTGAAAGGATGAAAAGGCATCTCTCAAGTGAATCAGCTCACCTCATCCCCTGTGCACTTCGCAGGAGCTGTCTCAGATGCAGACCCAGATCTCCGACACCTCTGTCGTTCTCACCATGGACAACAACCGAAACCTGGACCTGGACAGCATCATCTCGGAGGTCAAGGCGCAGTACGAGGACATCGCCAACCGGAGCCGGGCTGAAGCAGAGTCCTGGTACCAAACCAAGGTGAAGAAACTGGGGGTTTCCGTGCTGTTATCTTCATGTCTTGTCTTGAACAGATAAAGACCAACTCTTCCAAGAAATCCTTCTAGAGTACTGTATCTTGCACAGCAGCGCTCCAGCTGCCAGTCTGGGCTTGAGGAGGGACCCATGCCTTCAGGCACCTGGGTTACTCCAAAACCGATGGATTTTACCTTGGGTGATTGTTCCTCTCTCTGCGACAGTACGAAGAGCTGCAGGCTACAGCAGGCAGGCACGGGGACGACCTCCGTAACACCAAGCAGGAGATCTCCGAGCTCAACCGCCACGTCCAGCGACTGCGGTCTGAGATCGACAGTGTGAAGAAGCAGGTAAAAAGCAGCAAACCCCACACTTTTAATCATTTTACCCCTTGCAAGGGAGAGGAAGGAAAACATCAGAGGCAACCTAGAGAAGTTCTGCTCAGTTTGATCCTTTTTCTTTCAAAAGAACTGTCACTAAAAATGGTAAAACTGATGGTGCTGGAGTAAGACCTTGTTATTTCAGGGTAGATAAAGATCAAGTCTGGGTCTTGTACGGGGAATCTGAGTGGGGGTTTCTCTTCTGCAGTGCGCAAATCTGAAAGCGGCCATCGCGGACGCCGAGGAGCGCGGGGAGCTGGCCCTCAAAGATGCCAAGGCCAAACTGGCCGAGCTAGAAGATGCTCTGCAACAGGCCAAGGCTGACCTGGCCCGGCAGCTCCGCGAGTACCAGGAGCTGATGAACGTCAAGCTGGCCCTGGACATCGAGATCGCGACCTACAGGAAGCTGCTGGAGGGCGAGGAGTGCAGGTGGGTGGGAGACAAACCTTCTAGTCCTGATGCTGGAGGAGCAAAGCAATGTGAGCGCTGGAGAGGCTCGGCATTTTTGAAATGCCAAACTGGGCATTAGGGAGGGAGGGAGATTACCCTAGCTAAAGGAAATAACATTGTGGGAAGGATCCCCAACTTACACCAAGTTTTTATTTTTATCCCAAAAGGTCTCTAGGAAATGTACCCTATTTCCCCCCCCCCCCCC